TCACCTGGCTACCTGTGTGGGGATTGATCACCTGGCTACCTGAGTGGGGATTGATCACCTGGCTACCTGTGTGGGGATTGATCACCTGGCTACCTAAGTGGGGATCGTGTCTCTGTGAATGGCCTCCAGCTATCCCCAGCCTGCTTTGTGTGCGTGCTTCAGGCCGTTGTTGGGTGGTGTCCTGGGTGTTGTTCTTGGCTGCCCGTCTGGCCGTCAGCTCTCTCTGGTTGACTTTGTCTGATTGGTCCATATGTACCGTCTGCCTGCCTCGTGTCCTTGTGGTTGCTGCTGTGAATGACATCCTGGCATTTAGAGCAGCAGGACAGCCTCTGTGAGCGCCGGGTGCCTAAATGTCAGCCTGCTGGTTACAGACCTGTCTCTCTCTCTCTCTGGTGTTGTTGTTGTAACCCTCCTTCAGCCACCTGTGTTTCTCTCTATCTGCCCTCCCCCAGTAAGTCCAAACCCACTCCGTTAATCACAACCAGGATTTTGCTTCCCACTGCTAAATAATCCTCAGCAATATTGACCTTTGAAATGCATATTCTGCTCGGCCGTGTAGATAAAATCAATTTTCAACTTGGGCAAATCTGACATCAGAACGCCTGATTACAGTCTGTTGTCGTTTTTGGTCGCACACCTGTCTGAGCTGCATGCGATGCAGGACTAGAAGCTGCTGTGAGCACAGACGGAGACCATCACAGCCTGCTGGAGGTGTTCAGGACACATAGGGACGGTGGGCTGATGATTCCCTCTGTAGGAGAAACGTAACCTTCTTTTAAACTCCTATTGTGATGCAAGTATTTGTGTATTATCAGGGACAAACCCGTTTGGTTCTAATGGTGCAGCGTGTATTAATGTATATGTATATGTGCCTAAAAGCAATATTTAAATGGGAAAACCCATCGACTAATACCTGTCTGTTTGTGTTTCTAGGATTATCCATGAGGACGGTTTCTCTGGCGATGACGTGAAGCAGTACAAGCCTGTCGTTTACAGCAACACCATCCAGTCGCTGGCCGCCATCGTCCGTGCCATGGATACGCTGGGCCTGGAGTATGGAGACAAAGAACGCAAGGTCAGTGCTCATCCCAACGTGTCAGTGGAATCACATTTTTCCAAATACTAGCACCAAATCTGTAACGCGTGACATGCAGTCACACTGAACCGTAGTCCAGACCGTCACAGATGGGAGCTTCCCAAGACTGTTTATATTCTCAAGTCTGAAGCTGTGAACGGATGAAGGCTAACCGAAGACGTCCATCAACACCAACCTGCTCATTCACCAACACGCTGTGGCTGGATGAGCGCCAGGAGAGCCGGTGTGGTTCAGGTAGAGTCCAGCTCCTGGATGGGATCTGATGGAGTATCTGAGCAGCACCGTGATCCCGTTGCTCTGACCTCCTCCACATGGAGATCGACAAGATGTCAACATTGTTCTGATTGCGGCTCCATAATTGAACCTGTCGTGGTCAATGCAGGAGAACACTGTCATTAACTTTCATGTTAACTTGTCCCGGCGCGTAGTGACTGTGTTCAGGCATATTTATACAACAGCCCGGCAACGCTCTGCAGATGGAAAGTGTTAATGTTAGAGCTCCATGAAAGTGCCGCTCCTGTGATTTGTGGCGGAGCTGAAAGACGGTGAGATTAATTATCTATCAAAAGACCTTCGGGTGCAGCAGTATAGCGATGTGGAGGTCACAGTGCCATAGGCTCCCATGATTCCAGGTCTGAACCAGATGTACGTTCATGTTTAACGTGCACCTTCTTCATGCAGCTGCTCTGCACTTCTGACGCTTACACGTGTTTATTCAGCGCCGTGCGTCTTCTTTAACAAGTGCTTGCCTTCATTTTTCGTGCTGAAGCTACAAGCCACAGCAACTCGTTAATCATCTGCAGAAGGCTTGCAGAGTTTTTATGACACTATAACTTATCTGTCCAGTGCTTTTTATTTGTAAGTATTCAAGTCTTTTTTAAAGATCCCTATGATTGATGCAGCCTTTTCCTTTGGCTTGGATTAAACATGAGCAGCAAATTTCTGTCTGACTTTTTTATAGGGTGTCATCTCTTCAGCACCCCGGCTCGTTTTATTTGTTAAAGTGTCTACAGCAGCGCTCATTCAGACGGCTGATGGTAAACGCCTGCCAACCAGCCCTGTCACGCTTGTGCCAAACATTCCTCCATGCCAGTCTAAGTTAGTCGTGCTTCTAAGTCCTCCAAATCCTAATGCACACAAGTTCAGTATATGATCGGCTAATTGAGGATTATGAGTCTAATCCACAGAAGAGCATCAGTTGTATCTCAGTAAAGAGCAATGGGACAAGCTGAATTAGAAATGTAAGAACCATCAGACCCAGTGTAGCGTCACAGCAGCGCCTCAGGCCTGGGCCTCAGTTCAGGTCCCGAGGCCTAGACATGAGTTAGCCACATATATACTGAAGTGTACCAGGTCCAAATGGGTTACACTGAATTTCCATTTAATGGGTTTATTTGGGCAGCCCTTGAAAAGCATGGAGTGGTGAATTTCAATACAATAGTTGAAACTCTCCAACTAGATGTGAGCCACAGTGGGTTATATGTGTTAGCTCCTAAATGCAGTGCTGTTGGAACACGTGCTGGATGCCGGCGCTTTCTACCATGAACTGGCAGCCCTCCTCCTTCTAGGAAACACTGGAATACGTACAACAGATGATGTATTTATTGCCAGCTTATTAATAGCAGTGCACTGTGTTAGTGTTAGGGCCGCTCTTTGACCCAGTGAGCAAACCGACGCTGCACTAATCAGATGCTGGAAAACGTTGGCAGACCTACTTTAACGCCGCGGTTCTTGACATACAACCAAACTGTGGCAGCAACGACAGTAATGTGTGGTTGCTGATGATGAAGATGACTTTGGCATAACAGTCACGAGGGCGACGGTCCTGATGACAGTCCTGAACGCTTCGCTGAACGCGGCGCTAACTCGGCGCTAACACGGCGCTAACTCGGCCCTTTGACTGGGCCGCCTGCTGTCGGTCACAGGTTTGTCTTCGCTGGAGTTTTCGTGACTGTGAGAGCAAAAAGAGCTCCAAATTCCACCTCTTTCAGGCCACCACACACACACACACACACATACACACACACACACACACACACACACACACACACACTTACAGATCTGTCATTGGCTAACCTTAGCCAAAGGCACAGTATATTTTTAATCACAACGAAGCCATTGATACTCAGTGTAGAGGGCTGAAATAACAATACACCTATTGATTAGGATATGATATCTGTGTGCGTGTGCGTGTGTGTGTGTGTGTGTTTTATACGTGTTGGTGGTGCATTTTCTAGAGGTGAGCGGAAAGGCCGGAGGCAGCGAAGGGTTGTTGTTGCAGTTTGGACAGGAGGTGTTGAGTTGTGCAGCAAACAAACAACAACATCAGCGTTTGGACTTTGTTCTGGACTTTGTTCTGGACTTTGTTCTGGACTTTGTTCTGGACTTTGTTCTGGACTTTGTTCTGGACTTTGTTCTGGACCTGGTGAACTACGTTACTGGAAGAACCTGAAGCACAACATCCTGTAGATAAGTCACTGAACTGTTGTGTCGTGCAGCTTCACACGGCACAGCTGAGCGTTCCTAACGTAGAAAAACCTTACCATGAAATGTGATCAGCCTTTTGAAATGAGCATATTTCCACTTTACAGTAAACCTTATGGACGGTATAGTGCCGCCCAACTGACACTGGATGGATTTTTTAAGGGTACAATTAAAATTTTGGAAGTTTTAACCATCAGATAATTCTATCGAGCAGGGAGGGTTTCAGCTCCGACATCACGGATCAGTAGATAAGAACAGCAGAATGCTTGAAGCTGGGATCTGCTGATTTGCCCACCAGGCCGTCTGGCTCGTAGCAGCCTGATGTAAAAGTCCAAAGTTGACCTACACATCATATGGGATACAACATGACGTGTGAGCAGCAGACTTTCTTTATTTAATGTTCACTTTTGGGTTTTTCTTAGCAGCAGATTGGACGTAACGCCAGTAAAGGAGTCCAAACGTTGTGCCGTCTGGAGGAACTGTTCACTGGTTGTCACAGCTTTGTTCAGGTGGTCTGCTGTCCTGGGTTGGGTTCGGGTTTGGGTTCGGGTTTGGGTTGGCCAAACTTTACTCAACCTCAGTCTTTATCTGGTGGCTGCTTTCTCTGGACTTTATTTACCCTCCCTTCAGATACGTCGCTGTGCACCTGGACAAAAGGCTACTGTGGACCTTGCAGCGTTAAAGAAGTAGTTTTTAAAGGTTTCCTCACAAGAGAAGTGTTATTTTTACCGTGACATGTACCACGGCCTGTTTAATGAGCCGCTCCATGCCAATACAGTAAAGAGGTAATTAAATCCAAGTCCTGTGCAGGTCAACACTGAGCATCAGGCTGAAGGACGACCAAGAGGTCAAGAAAGTGTCAGAGGAGCAGAAAAGCATGCGAGGAAAGAGGAAGGAAAGTCGATTATTCAAGAGAGGAAGGAGAGAATGTGACAGTGGACATGAAGCAGAAGGAGGACTGAGCTGTGTTTAAACTGCTGTGCGTCTGACTTCCCCTCAGAGTAACCACAGGACTCCGTGACATCCTTCTCACGGCAGTAGAGGATGTGGGGTTCGCTCCAAGCACGTCACCGGTATGTCTCCACCGTAAGCCTCCATGCTGCCGTTCCTCTCTATCTCAGATGTTGGACACCTTCTGTCCTGCTCGCTCCTCCTCCTCTGACAACAGCCCCCACCCATCTGTTTCCTAGCCTTCGCTAGTTGCTGTGGCAACCCGGTGTTTTGCCGTGCTCTCAACACATTCCTGTGTCCAAGGGCGCTGTGACACACAGCACATGCACACAAATGATAGCGGGCCTGAAATAGACGGCGTGTTGTCACTGCCGTATGAATCTTTGAGCGCTTTTCACTCAGGTTTCAAAGAAGAAGACGAGAGTTCACAGGGAAAGGTCTCGCCACATACTTTGGATTGAACTGTGAAATGTTTTTCTAAATGCTTCAATTTCTGTTAACTCCTAATTGAATATTCACTCAGCTCCTCCGCGACACGGCGCTTAGACAACAGCAACATCACTCTGACTCCTGCTGTAGAATGTCACAGGGCTGACTTTTGATATTCTCTGCATGTTTACAAGGTTATTCCAAAAAGTTCACCCAGAACCAGGACCGTACCTCCCATATAGCTATAAACTATGAAGCCGTATGTCCCCGTCCACTGAAACTCAAACGGCTGTCGTCCTTTCTCTGCAAGGAGAGAGCAGCTTGTTGTTTCAGGACAATGCGTCCGTCCAGATGGCAGAAGCAGCCCACTGTGGCTCTGACCTGTTGCCTCGTGCACCTCCCTCACCCGACCTGCACCGCCTGACCTCCGTCTGCTTCCCAAACGTGCGTGGTCACCATTTTCAGAGAGATGATGAGCTCATGCGTGCTGTTGAGGAGAATCTGGAGGCTCAGGACGTGGCCTTCTGCCTCGAAGCGATAGCAAGGCTTGAAAGTCGGTGGACCAAGTGAAGGTAAAGTGTGACATTTTGTGGGTGAGGCGGAGAACAAGCCTCGTCTGTGGTTGTTAATGTATAAGGAGTACTACTTCTCAAATACGTGGTTCCTTTTTAATTATCCTTAAAACCAAAAATAAGAAGTCAAACATTGAGGGAATGAGTTGAACTGTGTTTAATGGGGGATTGTTTCGTGGCAGAGCAGCATGGCTGCATGTCCAGGGTCTGCATCAGGCACCGCAGCGGGATGTGGAAGCCAAGAATCACCCATAAAGGAGGCCGGACTGTGCCTGTAGCCAGCTCGCTGATTTCACATTGCCTGAGTTTCTGGATTGTCAGTACCTAAAATTAGCAAGAACATAGCAAGTCCATACATAGGAGCCACATATCAGCACAATGCAAACATGAATCTGTGTGAGGCTCGACCAGGCCTGTATGTTGTAATGATGATACCCAGCTGCTCATGTTTCACTGGGCCATTATTAAATGGAGGAGGAACAGATTTGTCATGCTGCAGAATGAACTGATGTCTAAACAGCTCACGTGCCTGAACCCATACTG